TTATCTCAATATCACTGACCTTTCTTTCAGCATCTGAGTGCAGACTGACTCCACAAGCTCACAGAGGGCAGTACATCATCATTTACACACACCTGGGCCACATATACAGTATATAACATATATGTGAAATATATAAAACACTCTGAGGCATGAGCACTACATTTCCCAGCTTTGCTCACTCACTCACTCACTCACTTACTTAAACCTGTTGGTATGCTGCTTTAACTGGGAACTTGTGAAACCCTCATGACGAGCATTCTTTGGATATTATTGCTGACTGGTTATGATGTGGGTTGTCATGAAGTGCAGCCTCAGAGATGTTTAATTGTCACTGAGAAGTAAGAGGATATGAGGAAAACGTTTTCAAATGTGGGTATAAATCGCACTGAATGAGGCTGAGACTAAACTAGCGTGACATCCAAGTGTTAACATGTGTCTGCTGACGGGGGGTTTTCAGGGAAAACACACTGCCTATGGTTCTCATAGCTACAGTGATTTATCCACCCTTTAACTCATCTTCCCAGGGTGAATTCTTCAGCCTCTGTTCTTCTGAATCACCTCTGTCATTTCACATTATAATTAGGCTCTTACTCATTCGTCTACATTGTTAATTACTCATTGACAGACCAGACTTTTAAAAAACGACTTTTAACAGGTAAGTAGCTTGCACCTGGTTCCACAGTGTCAAATCATTACCACTCACTCAGGTGTCACTGTGTTAATTTAGACAGGAGATCATCCCTCACAGCACATCTCTCTGTGTGGCTTCAGACACAGAACATTTTGACTCATCGACTCATTTCTGTTCCTACAGTGAATCAGTCTTTCTGGATTGTGCAGGTCAGTTGATTCACTGGAAACCACTGGCAGTCCTAGACTGCAGCCGGCCAAACAGCCATGGTGAACATGGTGCCTCATGCATGTTTCATGAAGGACTAGGACTGTGACAATGGGTTTATCAGTGAAAACAGCAGCTGCACGCTGCAGCCAAAGATTATGCTGATGAGAGAGATGAGAGTGAACCAACACAGTAAAGTTGAGGGCACTAAAACCAAAACAATGAGCTGAAAGACACTAAAACCCTCCACAGAGCTGAGGGGAAATGCAGAGCTGGGTAGTAATTGTCTGTGGGTTCAATCAACACCTTTTGCATTACACATACTCATTCGATCCATCGTTGTTATAAACATAATTATTAGAGTATCATTCAATATTCAAGCTTTAGTCATGAGAGGGGAGGTGTCAGGATTAACTGATGTTTTGGCCACTTGCAGAACAACCTTTAAACACAACTCTGACATATTATCATCATTATCACCGTATAAAGTCCTTGGAACAAACCTGTTAGGAAACTGTTGCATAATTACACATCATGCAATCATGGAGCAACACTGGCATTCTTTTCAATGTGTTTCTGGTCATCTGATGGATGTCTGCCCAATATTCAGACTTCCTTTTAACTCTTTTTTTGGCATCCACCAACCCTTGTGGGATTTATCTGGCCCTTTAACCGCTAACAAACAGGCAGATAAAGTTAGCAAATAGCTTGTGAACACAGCTAACTTTGTCCTTTGGTGCGGGGGCAGGTAGCATACAGTGGCTATTTAGCTAAAAACAGTTGCCTGCTGCAGCTGGAAACAATAATGAGAGTGGTGAGAACAAACACAGTAAAGTTGTGGGACGTGATTATCAAAACAATGATTGATTGCAGAGCTGGGTGATGATTATCTGACAACTTATATGACAACTTTCACATTGGTTATAGTCATTTGGTCCATTGTTAATACGGAAATATTGATTAGTGCAGCTTTAATTATCAAGTCTAAACAACAAGCAACAAATTTGACACGACGACAAGTATTATCCAAGAAGAGAGAATGAGAGGGAGGATGACAGGTAAGCGACAGAGGAGCAGAACAGGTGCGAAGCTCTTGCTGCTGCTCGGCCACAGTTAACACCTGAAGCAAAACGCCTCCATGCCCTTTTGCCTTACCAGCCACACGGTGCTGCAAGTGAACACGGGCTTAAGAAATTCGCTGCAAATGGCCTGCTATCTGAGAGGTTTTGCTTCATCTCAGTAACACTGAAATTAGAGGAACGGTGCCCTGATTTATGTGGAAAAGTTAAGGGGGGGTGGGGGCACATTCCAAGACCGCTGTAGGCAGGAAGTTTTGGAATCTCCATGGAAATTAAGGCAAAACACAGAGCTCCACTGTTATTTTTCCAAGTATTTCACGCAGGCTTTTAGAGCAAAATATGCTCAAAAGCCTCCAAAAGGGGGACAGATGATTTGTTACCAATTGTCCCCTCTGTTGCTGCCAGACACACTGATTTACTTACATTAGGATACAAACAGTGCATGACTTTAAAAGTGCAATAACCGTTAAGGCGAGATGAATTGAAGTAGCGTAAATTGTCCCAAACATAAAGACAGAATGTGAAGAATGTTCATTATTACACGATCCTACAGTTTACTGACCATGTCAAACAAACAATGAAACTTCATTATCTCGGAGCGAGCTCGCTTCGTTGACATCTGTTCTTGATCCACTATGACTGATGGTTTGGTTACGTGAGAACCGCTCACAGTTACTGGGAGTCAAAGTGGTGAAATCATGGTAATAAATGCAACAATCCTGACAACAATCACAGTAATTCCTGCAAGAGTCCAGATGTTTGTGGAATGCACACACGTACTTAGGAGTGAATTTTTCTTTTTCTTTTTTTTTTCATCCTCTCTGGATGATGACGACTTTAGGACACTTGAGCGTCCCTGGGAATGAGTCTCCCTCTGCTAAGTTGTTCCTCCTGGAGTCAAGTAATCATAACCTTTCACCTTCAGAACCCCTTAACATCCCTGATGGTGTGGTGGGGGCTCTTGTCTCTCTTGTACTGTCAATAGAAGCAGGATGAAATATCCAAAACGTGATCTATCTGAGCACAATTCACAGACCCCAGTGTGCTACACGTGTCCCACCTAAATAAAAGGCACGGAGATTGACTATGGCAGCTTCTCTGAGCTGAGAAAAGTGGCACTCGGCTTCAACAAGTGAAGGCAGCGGGAGGAAAATGTGTGGCATCTATGGAATGCCATCCGCAGCTCACCAGGGGAACCGAGGAAGGAAAAAATATTTACATTAAAACTCGAAGTGTACAGAAGAATTCTTTTGCATGTAAAAGCTGACTGGAAATTTACTTGGGAGAAAATACAGCTAAAAAGTAAACTTCCTTAAAAGCAGGGATAATTCAGACATAACATTATCAAAGCTTACGTTTCTGTTTGCACTCTATGTCAACGTTCCTGCACTGAGCACATTACAGGTTCATGTAACCACAGTCTTAAAACTAGTGTTTTGTGATGCAGGTTTGAAATTTTACATCATGTGAAACAAGATCATCTGATGATCAGCTGAAATTCCAAGTATGTCTTCATTTGTTTAGGTTGTGATGTGCAGGACATAAAGAACAACTTACAGCGCAGCATTTCTGACGTTTGTCTGTCATGAGACTCTAGAAGAATCATGAAAAACTGATCATCAGGGCTGCACTGTGTCCGTCAGGTGAGGGTAAGTGTCATGAAGACATTGTGTTCATTGTAAAAACCCATGAAGAATTGACTCGGTGCAGCAAAGAGTAAAAGACTGAACTCTAGATTTTCTGGATGCTGAGTCCAAATATTGTCATTTATGACGTTTCCTCTAATTTAATAATGTTGCCACCCATGGTGCCAAGTTTATATATATCACCAATATAAAACATATATAGTGTTCTCCACTGGCAATAGGTTTTAAAGGCATAAATAAAGATTCATACTGGAAATGTTTCACTATCTTGAGCACTGCAGCAGTCACTTGGTCTAAAGTTTATTATTCACTTTGTGAATAAAGACTGGGGCGGCATAACAAGCTCTAAACACAACACATATGTGTGTTAAGTATATTCTGCAGAGTCACATCTTTACTAAGACATGATCTCCGATGGAAATTCATAGCTTCAAGGTGGGTTATGGAGCATATTAGCCGTACTTGGCAGCACAACAACACTTACAGAGCGCATAGATACAAAGCAGTGAAGTGGATTTTGCTTCAGGAATGGTTTGTTGAGTTTCTATGGAAATTTTGATTCACTTTCCCCCATTAAAAAATGGGTCAACTGGTGGAATCCATCATGTCGACCATGAATTCAAATTGACCACAGCCTCCATTCTCAATGAAGGAAAGAAACACAAACAATTTAGAAACATCCCTTCAAGTCTGCAGTAGGTGAGAGTTTGACACTGACAGACTACGGACGGACTATAACTTTTGAAATGTGCAATCACACATTCCACAGATTCAAATGGAAAGTGGAGTGTTTTAACAATTGCAAATACATCCTTGTTCAAATAAATAGAAAGGCTGCTACAGCTAGCTAGCTAGATATGCTAGCTTGATAGGCTAGCTTGATAGCATATCTATCTATCTATCTATCTATCTCTCTAGTGCGCTAACTAGCTAGCTAGAGAGATAAATATAGTAGCTAGGCTATCAAGCTAGCTATCTATCTATCTATCTTTAGGAAGATATTGCTCTATAACTGAAATCACTTCCCTACTCTTACAGTATGTTTTGGCATTTACCATTATCCTGTAACTGTCACTTAAATGAAAGCTACGTCGGCTGCATTAAATAGCTTTATAATTATGCTGTATTTTACGTAATGTACCGTTGCTTATATGTAATATTTAGCTGCTAAACGTTCACCAGCTAGTAGCTAACTTTGTCTACCTGCCTTTTTTGTGCTTGACAGGTAACAAACAGTGGATTTATTCGAAGAACACAGCTGTTTGTCTTATTGACTGAGATGGACCACAGTTGAATAGTTGTATTAAATAAAGTGAAGTTATCAGGCAAAGGTCTGACAGCTAACTTTCCGTGACACCTCAGATGTTTAGGTTTTCAATCGAATGCTTATACAGTATAAAACCAGTGCAACAATTAAAACAGAAAGCCATTTATCAGACATATATTAAGAATTTTAATCTATTATTGTGAAATGTTAAGGCATACATACAAATGTTTCCTTTACAAAAGTTCACAGCAACATCATATCATGGGTCAACCAGCTGAAGCAAGGCACCTTACCAGAACCTGTCATTTGTCATCGGTTATAACTTAAAAGTAGAGTACATCTTTGGCACCAGGAAACAAAACAAATACATGAATATAAATGAAAAAAAAAACCAAACAACTACAAAATATATTAACTTCTCTCACTTCAAAATAGCCATTCATGTAAACACATTCAAAAGAAAAGTGAAGGGCATTAACTCAAACTGACATGTTGCACTGACCAGCAAATGCACCGTGACAGGGAATATGAAGGGGAATACCAGCTCAATTGTGAGATTTCACAAGCTGTTTGTAAGACCTCAAACAATACTCTTCACTGTTAGTGATGGAGCTGGAGTTTGTGACTCCCACAACTGACAACAGCACTAACATTTTTGAAAACTGCGAATGCGAAAAACGATTAATTTGGGCGGTATTCCCCTTGAAAGAGTAGAACAAAACTGAACTGTGGCACATTCCAGTTAGCTACAGAACAGAAACAAAACAGGAGTCTACATTCAGCAGTGTTCAGTGATCCTACACTATGCAGGGAGAAATAAATAGAAGATTCCATGTCGGGGATGTAGTCGACTCAGAAATGTGAGCAACAGAGAAAACACGGCTGAATATAACACAGTGATGGGGACAACAAATAGAGTAGCAAATGCAGGCCAATTATAGTTGACCATTTCTACACTTCTGGTAGAACCAGCTACCGCGGCTCAGAAGAAATAACCAGCCCCAGAGAATGAATCATGTGGAGAATGCACGCCATTTTAACAAGGGTGAGGGGTCAGACTTTAGATAGCCTTTTTCTTTAACGGGAGCATTCCCTCTGCGAGGAATGTGAGAAGATTAGCTCCGGCGTGTCAGCGAAGGGGAGCGAAATGTTGGGCAGTCGCCATCTGAGGCCCCAAACATTAACCCCAGGATCTGGAAAATTAGACGCCCGTGAAACACTGTCAATCCTCGCAGGCTTTTTTAAGAGAGAAATGAGCGTGCTCCACATTCAAAGGAAGTTTCCAAAGCCTCTGCTGAGCAGGGCCCCCCGAGTGTATTTTAAAGAGAGGAGCGACTGTTAATTTAGGGGTTCGAGTGGTTCTGCTAAACAGAATAATCCTCACACACGGCATGATAACATAGATGCTTATACTGAGTCGTTTTTATAAATATTCCCATGGTAATAGGCATGCTACTGGAAACAAAATGTAGACAGGCTGCGCATGTAATCCAGAGAGTGAGTCATTTGAATATATATTAAAAAGTGATCCATGTCCTTCTCACCTCTCAAACACAAATATCACAATATGAGCAGCATTTACAAATATAAATACAATACATAACTAAAAAAACAAAAACAAAACATGCACAACCCATGTATATGCACAATCAGCAGCCCAGTTCCGATTCACAATGCAGAATACTGTCCAGGTACCTAGAAGGATTCTGACTTGTGAGGCAAAACCTCAGAGTTTGTGAATTGTGCAGAAGCAGGAGAGGGAAAGCTCAGCTCTGCCCTCAAAACTGTGTCACATTCTGGACTCTGCCTTTCTTTATAGTAGTCAGACAGGGAGGAAAGCCGTTAACACCTTGGCCAAAAGCGTCCGTTCGCCGTTGGCCGTCACCGCTCAGTTATTTGAGCCTCAGCCAGCGCTCAAATGAGGATTTCAACCACCTCTGCGTCTGAGCTGTTGATGCTCTTGAATGTCTTGAGCGGTGCCTTCGGCTCCTCCGAGGTGTCTGCAGTGAGGATAAAATTAGCAGATTAGAAAAACAACTTTGGTATGATGGAGCAAATACGACTGCAGTGACACAGTGTCTGCAAAGCTGCACATGACCTTGTTTAATTTATCTGACAAAGTGCACGAGTACAGTACATTTAAAAAGTGGTCAAATAGAATAAACAAGGACTGGATGTCAAGTGCTTCACAGAACAGTAAACCCACCGGTGGTAGCTGCTGAAGCTGCTGAAGCTGCCTCAGGCTCGGCCTTTAGCTTGAGAGGCTCTGCGGCGAGCTCGGGCTCCTGCGGGGCCTCGTCGCTTTGGGTGCTCGAGTCTCTGCTCGCGCCCTTGGGCACCGCACGGGGGTGGGGCTGCAGCGCGGCGGCACCTGTCAGGTCATCTGAGAGGCTCTTTCCTACAAACGCAGACAAAGAGAGGAGGCTGCTTAATTACCCGCTTACATCCACATTTACACATCTGCCCTTGTTGAGTTCTTCCCATGACTATTCTGGATGCAGCTATTCTGGAGTGAGAGATGATATGCATTCCGCTTTAAAAAACACGTTGCCTATTTGAGGGACACCAAACGGTTGTCTCCTGCTCCCACACTTCTTTTTTTTTTTTTTAGGAAGTGCACATTCTGTCTGGCGACACAGACCAGTCTGCCAGTTGTCGTTTGATCGCACATGTCATTAGATTTGAAAATTCCTCAGCGGGGCGAGAAGTGTGAGGACAAAAAAAACAAAAAACAAAAAAAACAACTCACCTTTACTCTCCATGCTGCTGGTCACGGTGTTGATGGAGGGGGCGGACCTTGCCAGCCGAAGCCCCTGTTTCTCCAGCTTGCCCTGCTCCCATCTGGAGCGCTGCTGGAGGACTTTAACCACGGCGTCCTTCTCCAGGAGCTGAGCGTGAAGTGCTCGGATCCTAAACACACGGAGGACACGATGAGCTCACAAACCCCCCGAGCAGTAAGACATGAACTGGTGTTCAAAACACGAACGTGGGAAGATGTGTACCTGTTCTCCATCTCCTGATATCTATGACTCGACAAAGGCAGGTCTTCATTGAAGCTGCTGTCGGGCGAGTGTCGGGGTGAGTGATTGATGATGGTTGTATCTCTGAAAGTAAAACAGACGACTGTTAAATTCTTGATCCGTAAACTTCACTGCACTTGTAATAAACCAGTTTTTTTCCTTTACTACATTTGTGTACGTGTCATCACACCTCTGTGCTGCAGCAGTGGCGGCTGCGTCCATTGCAAACTGCCTCATGGTGCTCTCCTCCAGGTACTTTTGCTCCCACTTGGTGATGTCTGCCTCCAGAGCCAGAATACGCTCCTCTTTCTCCCTCAGCTGCAACGTGGAGGAGCTCAGTCCAGACGCTGTGGGGTCAGCTGCCTGGTTCTGAGACTGAGAGAAAAGACATGATGGAGTGGTCAACTTTAGGCTTAACATAACAAATAAGCGTATTCTCCAAGCTGCAGACATAAAGAAGAAACGCTCGTCTATGTAACGTCGTCTTCTCCTCACCTGTTGCGCCCTGAGGCTCTTCAGCTCCTGCTCGAGCCGCGTGCGAAGCCGCAGCTCCAGCGCCTCCCTCTTCTCGCACGCCGCCTGTAGCTGAGCCAGCGCGCTCTGCAGCCGCTCCACTTTCTCCACGTACGCTCTCTTCCTCTGCAGTTCTTCCTCCAGCTGCCGGTTGCGGGCCTTGGCCGAGGCCAGGCCCTGCTCCAGCAGCTCCCGCCTCCGATGGCACTCCTCCCCGGAGACGCGCAGATGCTGAATCTGCCTCTCCAGACGGTCGCGCTCTCGTTGCTGCTCTTCATCTGAGAGACAGAAAGGGGAAAAAATACAGGTCAGAGGCGGGAAGAGTAACTATGACTTGGTCCTGGAGGTTGTAGGAGTCAGAGGGTCGTAGGTCAAAGGAATACTAAAGAGGGCTATACTGTACATCAGGACAGTTCAGTGGCCCTTCATTGACTCAGAGAATTACACTTTAAATGGAATGTGACCCAACAAGAGAAATTAGATGCTGCAATAAAGGCATGTGGTTCAACAACAGACCACCCTGTCCTCCCGAGTGAAAAAATAAATCATAGCGCTACGGCCGTTGCTACCGTAAATTCAATCATCATTAAAATAAAATATGTTCCATAAAACCCATTAAAAAGCAGCTCAGATTTAAATAAAGGCTGTTAGAAAGTAAAGCCAGTTCATCTGCTGTGCCACTTAAAAAAAAAGGGGGGTGATTACACAACATGAGTGCATGCCTGTGGAGGGAATGCAGACTTCCTCTTATCCACTTACGCACACAGGCATAGCTTTGTACTGGGAAAAGCTCTGGAATGCTTCTAAGGACGTGAAGTAAACAAGCAGCTCAAAATATAATTCAAGTGGTTCTTCTAACAAAAAAAAAAAAAAAAAAAAAACTACACATCCCACTATTGTATGTTATGTGGTTTTTTTTGCCTCTGCTGAGCCAAGATAACTGCTTTCAGGAAAAACAAACCGACCACCGGCTGTTTAAAAATGCCCAGAACGGTATGTATGGCCGATTATGTAACTATGGAAATAAAACTAAACTTAACTTTTAGAAATGTATATGCAAGGTAAAAAAAAAGCAAAAAAAAAACAAAAAACCAAAAGGTTAGTTGGGTTTATTCTGCAGCTGCATCCCTGCACACAATAGAAAAGGAGGACAGAAATATTCAGAACCACGAGGTAAAGAAATGCCCAAACAAGGAGAGTGAGCGAGCCAGAGGTCATGTTGAGTCGGGCCCGGACGCCCTGGAGTCCTAGACTTATTAGTTCCCCTTGAGAAGGGAAGTCGGCAGTGATGCAAAACTGAGCAAGGAGGAGGGAGGGTGGGGGGTGGGGGGGTGGGAGGCATTCCTAATGCTGGAACAGCCTGAAATACCTAAAAAAAATTCCTGGAATCCAGGCCACATTTACTGCAGCTATGAAAAATGGCTGTCGTCTAAGTGCCAAGAGTCACTCTTAACGTTAGAGATAGAGCTGTGTGGGGCCGCGGCTTTTATAACACGCCACATCGCTGAGAGAGGAAACCAATCCCTGCTCAACTATGTTCCTGCTATTGTTAAGTGCTTCACAGGGCAGTGTGATAAGATAAGGAACATGATCCTGAAGTCTTCCTTCTCTCCTCCGTCACTGGATCGTGTCGTGAGAAGACAGTTTCTCTAATAAAAAGACATAAACTTACTCTGCTCCAGCAGCTTGACAAAGACGTGCTGCTTCTGGTCTGTACACTCAGCTTCCTTGGCCGCTCGCTGTTTGTTAGCCGTGTCGAGTTGTTCTGTACCGAGGAGAGCAAAACAAAACACGACGGTTACACACACACACACACATTTGAACAGCGGGACTGTGTCACTTCAGCGGATTGGATGAACACGTACCTCTTAGGTCTCTGTTGAAGTCGTGCATCCTCTTGATCTCAGCCTCTAGTTTATTCCTCATTGTTTTCTCCAGAGTTTCCCGCTTGGCAGAACCTTTCATCAGAGTCTCATAAGCCTCAGAGATCCTCTGAATCTCCAGCTCCAGCTGAGAGGAAAATATGAGGAGAACATGAATCTCTGGGAGAGGCCCCCACGCCCCCAAACTCATTCATTCAGTGTCTGGATAGTGGTTTAAGTTGCAGTTGTTAATATCAATGAGACTAATTAGTCATCCCCACAAAGGCCACCTTTTCCCTTCTTTATTTTACTGCCTACAGGCAAACGGCTTCTTAACACTATGCGCAACTGAAAAGTGGGAATCAACATTCCTGAGTGAACACTTGTGGGGTCCAGGTGTCAAGGCATTTGTCTGCTTTCATGGCAATACGCCAGCATGCTTTGAAAGACAAAAGGGGATAAAGATGCATTGTGGGTATTCTACGGGCTGGAATAGTGTGAAAACTCTCAACACTCAACTGGCAAAAGCGAATTATTGAAAAGTCCCAAACAAAACAGAAGGAAGAAGCAGGAAATAAATATGATTAGAAACTTTGGGAGGAGATGCGTCTGTGTCACTTCCCCATGAGCTGAACCCGCCTCTCTCCTCTACATATTTCTTAACTGCCAGACAGCTCATCACCCTGACATGCCCTGGCAGGAAAACTGATGTTTTACAGTTTCCACTCCCTCTACGAGCCAACGGGCTCCAATTCATCGCACCGCCGTCCTCCCTCACCTTCTGCAGCCGGGCGGCCTTCTCGGCGTAGACCTCCAGCTCCTTCCTGAGCCGCTCGTTCTCCCGCATCAACGCGTCCGTCTGAGCCGAGTTGTTGCTTGAGGCTGCGGAGACGCCGCTGTGAGCCGCCTGGGACTGAGCGGACACATACCTGCTGAGGGGGGAGACACAGGTGACTCATTACAACTCTGCTGAAAACCACAATGTCTCGGAGATAGTGGGTGAACGATCGTCTGGAGATCATATTCTATCTGAATCATAATTCCACGGTGGCCTGCACCTGCTGTGGTTACCTGTGATGCTGTGAGTGGAAGGGGGGAGGGGGGTCTCTGTAGTACTGTCCATGCTCCTGTGAGTGACTGAGCATATATCCAGGAAGTCTGGCACAGAAAGGATAGTCCGGTGGTGGCCCGCGCTGGTTGACACACTGCTGAGCCCCCTGCCTGTCGGGCGCCACAGCATTTGTCACATTATTATTATACAGCTGTGGATAGCTGTGTGAAAAGCTCGTAGCCAGACTGTCTCTGCGTCCGTTTCTCTCCAGAGAAAGCTGCATGAGCCTCTCACTGAGGGAGCGAGCATGCTCCCTCTTAAGATCCCACTGTCCCTCGCTGCGACTCCCCATCACGTCCATGCCGGGGGCCCCTTGCTCTGCCTGCCCCTTCTGAGAGATCAGGTACTGGGAGTGGGCCTTGGCCTCCTCATAAGTGGGCAGCTCCTCACCATGGAGCTGGTAGAGGTGGCACATGGGGCTCTCAGAGCGCAGACAGTCCCCCTGGTGCTCCTGGCCCTGAGGCTCCTGCCGCGTTGACATCTGGATGTACTGGGTCTCCTCCTGAGTGAGGCTCTCCAGAGAGGAGCGGGGACTGCCTGTGCCCCCGCCGCTGCTGCCTCCGCGCAGGGCCTGCTGCTGGATGGCCAGCAGCGTGCGAGTGTCCGTCAGGTTACCGTAGCGCAGCTGCTCCTGGATGAGACGGTGCAGGACCGTTCCAGAGGAGTCTTCAGCAGTTCTCATTTCAGTCGGAGGGAAATTAGAAAAAGGAAAAAAAAAAAAAAAAAAGGAGCCTGGAGGTGGCGGTTTGGACTCTTCACAAATCACAAATCTGAAAGAAAAACAATAATCTTGATCAGACTTGCACATCTTTCATTTTATCTAATCAACTCAGCATTTTTGTCAGCATTCCCAGACCTCATTCATTTGTAGTGGCTGTGATTCTGCTGTAAACCACAAGCAGAAACACTGACAACATTCCTCTCAGTCATAATTCACAAGCTCTGCTATTGCACCATGACTTTTGCTGTGAGTGCATGAGCTGTTGCTGGAAATACCCCTGACAGTGATGTCAGTGCAGATCCAGTTTTATTGCCCACACACTGTAAAGCATAACTTTCTCCAGTCAGACAGCAGAGTAATACTGAACCGTTGCTATGAACGTCAGAGTCCTCCCATACTTTCACACAACAACAAATAGACTGATTTCCTAATCTGGCATGAATCATATGCTTTAACAGGAAACATACCAAAATATGCAAAAGAAAAATAAAAGCTTCCTGTTAATTATTCGTAATAATATGATGAAATACCACAGAGGTGGAAGGTAAGAGGCGCACAATCTACAACAAACTCTATTTTGTGAGTGGCTTTTATTTAATTTCGGTCTTCAGATATCATTGGAAAACAGGATACAGTCCAGTAAAGCTATTTCTTTTACTCAATAAATAAAACAAATATGAGATCAAACTGGAAAAGCAACATAATTAATGCAGCAGTAAGTCAGTCAGTGCTGCGCCATGCTCAGACGTCTAGTTATCAGGCATCCAGACACAGTCCGGCCCCGGAGCGAGAGATAAACTGAGAGAAAAACAAAACGTAAAAATAAAAAACACCTTACCGAGTGATAGTCTCATCCCACACGAAACTGGTTCACAGGCGGTGAAATCTCCCGGTGAGTTTTTCTGCGCTCAATTCAACAATGTCCACAAGTCTCCCGAGCTCCTCCGCTCCATGTACGTGTGTCTCTGTCTCTCTCTGTGTATGTATGTGTGTGTGTCTGTGTGTGTGTGTGTGTGTGGTGTGTGTGTGTGTGCGCGCCGACGGGCAGCAGCAGACTGAGCAGACCGAGGCTGCGAGCTGCACCAATAAATAACTGAGGGCCGATTGTTCGCTGCGGCTGGAATGACTGGAATGTAAAGGCTCCAAGTCCCTGTGGGATCAAAAGCAGAGCACAGGGGAGGAGGAGGAGGAGGAGCAGGAGGTGGATGAGGAGAGAAGGGGGGGAGGAAGGGACGGAGGGAGGGAGGGAGGGAGCAAAAAAAAAATTGGATTCAGAGCAGCAGCAGCAGCAGCAGCAGCAGCAGCAGCACTATCTCAGCTGGCTGCTTGTGTCATGTAAAAGAAGCTTGTTGTGTTTTGTTGTTGGTGGAGTTTTCATAGCCAAGTCCTTACAGCCACATAGAAATGTTACCGTGAGGCTGGAGGAGATAAGAAAGGTCATAAAACTCAATAAAACATTTCAACCTCAACGGTCATGAAGGTTTTACTGAAACGATGATGTTTAGAAATATGATATCAAGGGTTTTCTGCATCAAAAAGACATGAGACGTGAAAATGATACAGAAACACATGAATCAAGATTTAAACCACAAGTGTTTTTTTTTTAAAATGTCACATAAAAAGTGAGATTTGACAACATTATCATAAAATGTGGTTAGGTGGTTAGGATTTATCTTTTTTTTTCATTAAACGATAAGGTTTTTAAGTCTGTAAAATGTCTACTGATTCCCAGAAGCACCATGTGATGTATTCAAACAGGCCAGAACTCAAAGATATTCAGTTTCCGTGAATGTAAAACAGAGAAAAGCAGCAAATTCTAACATTTGAGAAGCTGAAAATGTAAATTCTTTGACATTTTTACTTCATAAATGTCTTAAAACAGCTACTTGAATAATCAAAAAAGTGCTGTGAACTCATTTTTCTGTTGATCAACCAAACCGAGCAACCGGCCGTAAGATTGACGAACTGAACTGCAAGGTGGATTTTTTTTTACAAGATTTACGTGATAGAAATACGACACAACCTCGGTGACAGGTGCCACTCTATCAACCCCACCGAGGCAGTGATGACAAAAAGTGCTGTCATATAATTGAGACATGGATTAATCATTATTTCTTCAACTGCCTTTTGTTTGCATGCGCCTGGTAAATATTTAAGCCGTGGCCCGTGCCAGTTAATTGCAGAGTGTGTGTGTGTGTGTGTGTGTGTGTGTGTGTGTGTGTGTGTGTGTGTGTGTGTGTGTGTGTGTGTGTGTTTGTGTGTGGACACAGAGGGAGAAGGGGCGGGTGCGAGGCACGATGCCTGCCAGCTGTCCGTGGACTGAAATCCCCTTCCCCTCCTTTAATAAGAGCTCTGAGAGATGCATTGTTCTCCCCCAAAAAAGCAGACATGACGGGGGCAGCCCTGCCATCTGCTGTTCTCCCCTCCACCACTAGCACCAGCTATACGCTCCATTCACACACACATATACACACACACACACACACACACACGCATGCATGCAGATGAAGAACCTGGGATCAGCTGGCAGTGGGGGTTGGGCTGTAGTATTTGGATAGTAATGTTATTGAGTGCAGCCCTTTTTTTGCATGAAAAGGATCATCCTAATGTGGTGGCTGGGTGTAAACAAGCCTCCTCTTGTTAACGCGGTGCAGTCAGTCAGTCAGACAAACTGCAGGTTACTTTATCTCAAACACTCACAGGCAAACGTCCACCTGCTGATTTGCATGGCAGTTGAAGTCCAAACGGTAACTAAAGAATGCTGATTGCTTTAACAACTGATAAGAATCAACAGGTTTTGCCATTTTCATGAGCCGTCTGCGTCAACAAGACGAGCAGCAGGTTTATTACAGCTCACGTTGTGTTGCGGCACCATTTTACATTGTATATAAGAGCTGCAGCTTGTTCTTAAAATTAATTGTGATTTATTTTCTGGAAGAAAGGTAGATGAGGAGATAAGAGATTACTCTCATATCTGTTACCAGCTAGGGAGTAACTAGCTAGCTAATGTTTGTCCAGAGCTAGATTAAAGTCCAATTACACACGGCATCTTGTTTGTTTGATCCACACAAAAACCAAAGTGTAAAAACAGGAGGTTGTGTTATTTATTTGCCAGTACTTAACCTCCTGTAGAACTGAAATTTAATCTTTGTACAGACTAAACAAACAGGGTGTAATGTTACCTTAGCCTTAGATTGAGCCATGCTAACCGTGCCTCATCTCTGTGCTTTAAAGCTAACTATGTCGTTAGCTTAGCTTAGCTTAGCTTAGCGTAAAGACTAGAAAGAGAGGGGAAACATGTCATTTCGTCTGGTGTAATGGACTTCATGTATCATTTCTGTGGAACTATGTCATCACCCAGGCTTCACAGAGACCAACATGACTCACATTTCATTTGCACTGTGGGAAAATGTGAGAGACATAGACACAGCGTCCGAGTGATGTAGCGTCAACATCACCAAGATTAGGACGGAAAAGATAACAAATCTAGTGCATGGACATGTCATGTGTCATCAGGGTAATTGCGTAAATGTAATATATATCACATATATTGAATTTCCATGTATGAAATATATGTACATTTAAAATAAAAAGATATAGGTAGAAAATACGAAATCTATTACAAACTGGAACAATATTGACATGTATGTCTAGCCCTTACAAATATGTATGCTTATGTATGTATGATTATATCGTAGACATATGTTATGTAAATATATATCCATCCCAAAGTCTGTAAAGACCACCAAGACAGACATCTTTAAAATTAATGAGACATTAACTACAAAAAATATATATAAACATATAGGTTTAAATTATGTTGTTTTAATAAACTTGCATATATAAATTAAATATATATCATTAACATATATGCTCACCACATGTACCATATAAAAATTCATCATGTATTTATAATTTAATATATATATAAGATTTTACAATGGGTATTTCATATATATTATAATCTTGAATCTTCATTTATCCGGAGGATGTATATATGTGATAATAACATATCCCTTTATAGGTGACATCATATTGATATAGGGACATATAGGTCATATATTACATTTCTGTATGGGAATGGGAAAATTAATTTCCGATAATTTACAGTGCTGCTGTGTTTCTTTGTGCACAGATGGCATCAACAATATGAATCAGTGCTAAACTTGCTGCTACAAGTCAACACTATTCTTTGTTTTATTTTTTTTATGACGCCACTCAGCGTCAGCCACACTGGTTTATAGTCAAACAACCAGATGTTGGACTGTATGAGTGACTGTGGGCTGGTGTTCCCTGGAAACTGAACCCATAGCTTGTTTACTGAAAACCAGCATGACATGAAGCCAGAGTGTTAATTCCAACAAAAACTCATGAATAAATATTTGTCATTAGTGGCTGTTCTGTCACAGCATGATTTTAAACATGAAGTGCGTTACGTATTTTAATACTTAAGGAGAGTGAATCAGACCACAGCACGCACAACCTGAGGTGAGTCACTTGCTAAAAGTCGCAGACACGAGGAAACAGACATGAACAGAGAGAAACTAATCTTCACTCAAAAGGAACAGTTTGACGTGTGCCTGGGTCCTCGGCCCGAGTCTGGCCCGTATGCTTCAACAACATCTGGGCAGAGTCCGGCTGCTATCCGCTGGCACTGACTGACAGACGGAGAAACTGTCTGTGTGTGCACCAGAAGTGGTCCAGATGTGGAAGTGGCATCTTTACAATCATGCCGTATATGGGCCAGATTCAGGCCGTAGAACCAGACGTACACTGGGCCAGAAGAAAACAAGCATGCGACCCAATCACGGGCCGGGTTGGGTTTGCTATCTGGAGCTCGATCAGACAGCCATTAGTTTAGTTTTGCATAAAGCCTAAGGCTGAAGAGTTAGCCTGCCTCTATCTGGAGGTAACAAAGGCCCTGTTCACACCTGGCATAAATATGCGTCTTGGGTGATCCA